TTACAACTTACAGTGATCCAAATAACTCAGGTCTTAGGTCAAATACGCAGCAACATAAAGCATGCCAAACTAAAACTGGCACTGGTGAGGAACATATTGCGTCTCTGAGCTGGCACATAAACATTTCTAGTGGCCGCATGAGAGCCAAACAGAGCGTCCCTTATTGGGGTTACAAAGCAATATTGTGCCAATGAATTATTCTCTAATGGCGGTCTGTTACGCCTTTGGGCCATGATCTCATATGTAGGCTAACGCAAAGCAGGGCCAAACTGGATCAGAATGTTTGTTGTAAAGTACCACCAGTACTGGCACCAAACACACTGTGGTAATGCCAACAAATAAGCAGAAAGTAGGCCTTTCTTTACCTCTTAGCATTTTGGTTTGTGCAAAATACAAGCCAGACCTGATCACACTGAAACAACACTAAAAAGATTGAAAGAACTTTTTAAATCACCGTCTGAAGGTTTGACTTTATTTTAAACCATCTTACATAATTATTAGGCAAAGGGTTTGTCTCTCCTTGACCTTCAGCAATGGTATTATTGGTTGTTTGGTTTTAAGGGATAGGGTTAGGGTTAGATATAATAGATAGACTGAAAACTAAAATATGGAGGATGTTGGGTGCACATACTTTTGTGAGAAAAATCCAATAGCTTTGAAGCCCATGTGTGATTACGGTCCGGTGTTCAGTTGGATTTCCCCGTTTAATAATAAATCACCAGAAATAAACCCCAGCTTTGTCCCAGAATGACGTCGCTTGTTCTTATTATTCGAGGCGGGGCACACACTGACTGTGTTGCATTGTCTGGCTGCTGCTGCTGCTGCTGCTGCGATGGCTCTGATCCCAGTGGCCATCTGAATTAAGATTCACTATTAACTCGATTATTAAACCTCTCTCCCGGTTAGCATTTTATCTCCATTAGCAGCCGAGAAGACGCCTTTGATCTGACAAAGGATTACGAGACAAATGGTATAATCGAACTGATTTCATTTAAATCCTCTGCCAGGAAATACCTCCTCTCCTTTTGTAAGCTCTTGATCAATCTGTGTTTTAAAAGTGTCTGCAGAGATGAAGCTGAAAGAACAAAATAGTGATCTATCTATGTGGCATTCCTGCTGAATCCACAGTACAGCTGCAGATGTATTTAAGTAATCTTCTGTCTCCGCTTGTCTCATGTTCTGCCACCAATATAATAACCCAAGTGGGTTAAGGAGCATAAGAGGCCTATGTGTGTACAGTCAGCCCTTTGTGCACACTTCATGGTCAATATCAGACACACTGGCAGAAGAGAGGGTGAGTCAAATCTGCAAACAAACGCACAAAATGACTCGTTAATCGTTTAAAACACCTAAAAGCATTTTAATCAAACTGCAAACTAAATATCTTCCATGCTTTTATCTTGAGTCAGGTAGTCAACTGCCTACGAGCACAAATGCCTAGTCAGAAGATTTCATTGTAAGCAAGAATCCAGGAAATCAGCAAAAGAAAAGGTGAATTATTACGCGTTTCCATCCATTACTGTTATACAAGTATTAAAGAGTTCAAGATAAACATCTGGTGGTGCCAATTATCCACTCAGATATTATTAAACCACTGCAGGAGAAGAAGATGCAACAAGTTGACGTACACTAGACTGACAACAATTTTTTTGCAATACTTGGAACGTTTTGGAATTTCTGAGGTTTCAACTTTCTAAGAACAGCGTCAAGAGAGGACATTCTGTTTATTTCCATGATTTTTGATATCCAAGAATTGAATTGGTCGCCTAAAAAAATCAATTTAAGTGTTGTGTTGTGAGAAAAAGAAGATATATAAAGAATACAATCTATTTGCCAACAAAAAGGTTGCAATACAGCAGCCAACTGGTATACAAAGAAAACTTCTCCAACTGGGATAAATATTATCATCATGTTTACTATTTTGTAATAATATTCCACATTGGGGCTTTTGTAGTTTCACATATGCAACAGTCACATATGGTAGTTCTTTTTTTAACCGTGCCTTATCATTGCACTTTTAGCTGCAACCATTATTTTATCGCTTTTATCGATATCGTCTTTTTTTGTTTTGTTTTTTAATTATGTGTGGAATGCTTATGTGAAGCACTTATGGGATTTGTTGTATTTTATTGAATTTACAATGTATTTCTTTACTAATAATCTCGTGCAGATTAAAGCCAAATATAACTTTCTAAACGTTCACCTTTTTCAAATGTTTTAAAAGACATACTGGAAAGTGTCCAATCACATTTCACCCTGACTTTGCAGGTGACATTGTACCGGCTGCTCCACTGATCAAAGCCTCTCTCTGGTAACTCGGATCAGAGCCAAACCACAACGGGACATTCAACACCACCACCAATGACAGGAATGCACATAAGACCCTCCCTTCCACTCCCCCTTTCTCTTTCATAACCCCGCTCTCATTTGTTGGTCTAATTAGGCTGTACCTTGTTTGAGTGCACTGGGGCGAGAACTTCTGGGGAAGAATGTGAAAGGGAAAGGAAGAGGAGGGGGGGGAAGGAAGAAGTTAGAAGGTTAGGTATTTGATTTGGCTGCAGAAGTATCTGGACACAACGACACGGAGGAGGCCATGGCGACGGAAAATATGGTGGCTACAGGAACTCTATTTCCTGTGCCAACCTTTCTGATGTGCCTTTAATGGGCAGTAGAATTTGAAAGACTAAATGCGATATTGCAATGATTCACGCTGCCATCGACGGTCTTGCACTAATGCAATTTTCTTTTACAGTTTTTGAAGTGACTGTTATTTTGTATATATTGATTATTGTGCTTGTATTCATGTCTTAATGTGTGCATATGTACAAATGTGTCTGTTGATTGTGTATACGTATGTACATATTTTTATACATATTTGTATTTTGTACTCCTTGGGATTGTAGGAAACGGTATTTCGATCTCTCTGTCTGTACGCACAAACTGAAAGATTGACAATAAAGTTGACTTTGACTTTGATATTGCAGGGATTCATCATATTCACAATATCATTGAAATATATATTTACATGACTTTGGGTTGTTTTTAAAGATTTTTGACGAACAAATGTGTCTCTCTGCTGCTCAACAATACTTCATTTAGAATGGTATTTTAAGAGATTTCAAAATGGTATTTCAAAAAGGGGCCCTATGATGCTCATTTTCCGGTTCATATCATTATTTAGTGTCTCTACTTTAAAGAGTCCTCTCCTGCTGATGTTCAGGTGTATATCAGTATGTAGTGTCTCTACTTTAAAGAGTCCTCTCCTGCTGATGTTCAGGTGTATATCAGTATGTAGTGTCTCTACTTTAAAGAGTCCTCTCCTGCTGATGTTCAGGTGTATATCAGTATGTAGTGTCTCTACTTTAAAGAGTCCTCTCCTGCTGATGTTCAGGTGTATATCAGTATGTAGCGTCTCTACTTTAAAGAGTCCTCTCCTGCTGATGTTCAGGTGTATATCAGTATGTAGTGTCTCTACTTTAAAGAGTCCTCTCCTGCTGATGTTCAGGTGTATATCAGTATGTAGCGTCTCTACTTTAAAGAGTCCTCTCCTGCTGATGTTCAGGTGTATATCAGTATGTAGTGTCTCTACTGGGACATGTCTCTATGCTTTAATGTTCAAAAAGCTCTTTATTTGTCTCATACTGCCTGTGCTGCAGCACCTCTTTTCACCCTCTGTCTGAAACCAGAGCCCAGTCTGCTCTGATTGGTTAGCTGGCTGGCTCTGTTGTGATTGGTCAACCGCTTAGAGATGTCCCGCCCCTTAGCCTTTCACGTACAATGTGTTGGAGCACTAGCCAATAGGAGCGCGAGTGTTACATAGTGATGTCGCCATGTTCCTGAAGTAGACAAGAGTCCAATGGAGGCGTTTGGGAGAGAAAGTTTGGGATTTTAGCCTCTGCAGACCATTTACATGCACACAAACCTTTATAACACACTACAGGAAAGGGAAAACCCCAAAAAGCAGAGTGTAAACCCAAAAAGCAGAATGTAAAGCTGCTAAAATGCCAACTGCTGTCAAATGGTGAATATACGTCCAGCCTGCATTGTATCTGCAGCTGCTGACAGTGTGTGTTTAGGCTTCATACAATGTGTTTTTAGACAATAGTGGGCTTCCAACTTGGTGGGAACAGTTTGTGTTTAGCCGTTTTCCTGTTTGAATGTTCCATAAAGGTGAAGCCAGCTCCATTATAAAATGGTTTCCCAGTTTGGTGTGGAGGAACTGGACTGGTCTGCACAGAGCTCTGACCTTTACCCATCATACACCTTTCAACACCAAATGTGACCCAGAGCTCATCACCAAACATCAGTGTTAGACTCAATACAAGGGTTATTCGTGTCTAAAAGGAGTCTAAAAAATAGCATTTAGCAATCTTTTGTATCTTAATATAAACTACATTTTAATATTAATGGTTTCAGAAGAAGAGAATTTGGAACAACAGTGATGTCAACTATTGGTCCAAAACCTGCCTTTCATGTTTTTTGGACGTTTTAATTGACCATATTTGCTTTTAGGGGGGTTATTTGAGTCCTTACTTACACTGAGATGTGACACAACTACTTAGAAAAAACACTTTTTCAGGTGCTGCATCATACTGGATGTGAATCTCAATAGAAGTTACTACCAAACAACATTCAAACCAATCTCTGCAGAACTGAAGTCACTGATTCATACTTAAACTAGATGGTGATGATTACGCAGTGACGTCATCTGCTGCAGATGTTGATCACACACTCCCTCACACACTTCGTCACACACTTCTTCACCTCAACACACACTCTTACCTAGATACAGTAAGGCGTTCTCCTTCTTCACGTCGTCGTTGATTCATATTTAAACTAGATGGAAATGATTACGCAGTGACTTCATCTGCAGCAGATGTTAAGCACTTCCTCACACATTTCCTCACATTTCCTCAGACACTTCCTCACACATTTCCTCACGCATTTCCTCACACATTTCCTCAGACACTTCTTCACACACTCCCAAAACACACACTTACCTAGATAGAGCGAGGCGTTCTCCTTCTTCACGTTGTCGTCCAGGTAGGTTGGCCCCAGAGTGTAGATGGGCGTTGACCCCATGCCCACCAGGATTTGAGCGATGACGAACAGCGCCACGTACAGGTTGTGCTCGTTTCCCTCCTGGTCTCTGGGACAGGAAGTGATGTCGACGCCTACCCTTCCGCTACCGTTACCGTTCATACACAGGCCCTCGTTTCCCGCGGACGAATTGACCTCCTTGATCTGGTACGGCGGGGAAATGAAGTGAGGTAACGAGAATAACGCGGCTCCGACAGCGATGAAAATCCCGCCGACCGCCAACCAGCGAGGCCGTTGACCCCGACCGCCGAAATAACTGATGAACACGACCACCACGAGGCTCCCGATGTCGAAACAGCTCACGAGGAGCCCCGATTCTGAGCTCCTGAGGCTGTATCTCTTCTCGATGGTGGTGATGACGCTGCTGAGGTATCCGGACACCATGAGCGACTGGATGAACGTCAGGTAACACATGCAGAACAGGAAGCAGCGAGAGTCCTGGAGGATTACGTTCATGTACTTCTTGCTGGGAAGACGAAACCGAGCCAGGGTTGAAGACAAAAACCCCGCCGGCGGCTTCCTTCTAGCCATGTTTTTACTCCTTCGGATCTCCGTGTTCTCCATGTAGGAACTCGGTCGGTTCAGCGCCGACTTCCCCGACTTCTTTGTTCTGGTCGGGGAATCGGGCGGAAAAGACTCGGTTTTGGCCGGGAGTTGGATGAATTCAGCGCTCTCTTCCGCCGTTATGGACACAGAACTAGCCAGTAAGGTTTCCTCTTGAGGGCCTTCTTCATTTAAAATAGGCAAACTTTTGTCACATTGATAGCCCATAACCGGCTCTTCCATCTCGCTGGAGAAGTCGTTGTCCTTCTGCAGGGATTCCGACAACTCCGCTTCTTCGTGGTCAGCCATTATTTCCAGTCTTTTTTTGAGGGGTTAGAAGAATAACCAAGCCTTTCCTACGTCTCACAGTTCAGGGGCTGCTGTCCATTACATTCATTATTTATAGCTACTCCCACATATACAGTCTGGCACACAAAGAGGCCTCCAAAAAAAAAAGGAAAAGTAGACTCACAGCTTATCTGCAGTGCAGGCTGGACAGCAGCTGGTTATCTCGTCATGCACACTTCTGCCACCATTTAATCCGGAAGGTGGAAAACACTCAGGCCTGATCTGTTCGCCCAGCTGAGCTCCGGGTTTCTTTGCAGATGCAAAACATTTCCACTCGATGGCTTCCCTCAGCAGGACGCTTCTGCTCCCCCGGCAGGGATGAAATGAACTTGCACAGCATCCCTGACCCCCCTGCCAATAAAGATCACACTGTTATAATAAAGCTTTTGGGAACATTAGATGATGGTGCACCCCCTTTTCCTCATAACTCCTCCCCAATTCAAGGGCATCACTCCCCCCTCCCTACCCGTCCCGATGGTATCTCCGCACCAGCTGTCCTCCAGTTGTCATTTAGTGGCAATATTTCTGCGTAAATCCCTGGAGATGTGTGTGGAGAAAATGGGAAAATTGGTAAAAATGGGAGAGCCGTCGAGGAAAAGGCGACTGAGAGGGAGCTCGGGTACTAAAGGCTGCACAGAAACACCGCAGTGCTCAGCTGCTCTCAGTCGCTGTTTTGAAAACAACTGAGTCAAGCTGCAGAGATTATTAAAGCAAGGGAGAGTGGAAGAGGACATTTCAAAATAAAAGCCTAGTTTGTGTACTCCAGCTGTGCTGTGACGTATGTAGAAAAAACACTGATATTACAAGTTGTGTCGTAAAAAGCATGTTTCTTTTTGGGTTAATCACACACAATATGACATGTAAAATAGCTCTAATGTTTATTTCACCATTAAATAGTGAATATACTAAAATGTCGCGATATATATTGTATTTTAACAAGTCTATTCTTACTTTTAAATAGTACACTAGGTTAATATGTTGAGCAAATTGTTATTTAATGGAGTATTCTATTGTATTCTGTATATTTTATAGTGTTTAGATACTCCTCTGAATATAGGTATTTTTACTGAGAATATTTATCTATTGTTTATTTACATTTTTAATTGGTTTATCTTTATTTTATCTGTATTGTATCACATTTTTTAAGTCGTTTTGTTATTAGTGTTTGGTAAGTGACTGTCAAAATGCTTATTTCCCAATGTGGGATATATAAAGTTTCTATATATCTATGTTTATTTTTAAAAGTATAACCGGAAGTCTTCCTTCACTGCACGGCTAACGTCCAAGCTAACGGCTAACCCGCAGAGATAACGTTCACTTATGGATAAAACAGCAACAACAACAATATTGACTCATCGTTTCACTCACCTGTCTCTCCGGAGCGACCACACGGTTCTTTAAACCTTCATGTCCGAGTTAAACCATAAACTCTGGAAGGACATTTGGTTAAAAGCCGACAAAAACACATTCATGTCAAATAAAAACTCACCTACAAAACATCGAGTTAGACAGAAAACACCGGAAGCACTTCAAAATAAAAACACGACGGGTCTGATTTAAAGGACACTGAACGTTATCTCTTTTTTATTTAGGCACAGTGGTGTAAAGTAACTAAGTACATTTACTCAAGTACTGTACTTAAGTACAATTTTGAGATACTTGTACATGTTATGCTACTCTGTACTTCTTCTACTCCACTACAATTCAGAGGTAAATGGTATACTTTTACTCCACTACATGTATTTAATACCTTTAGTTACTTTACAGATGTGGATGCATGATGTGAAATATAACCAACTCTTAAATCAGACTTTAGTTCCACCTGGAGTAAATTCACAAGCTACCCTGCAGTATACAAAGTCATTCAAACTAGCTGCACCTTTACCAGCTTTGAGAACACTTTAATGATCAATCATTATAAAACATATCATATATATTATTCTGAAATGGACCAATCTGCACAATGACTACTTTTACTGTCGCTACTTTAACTATATTTTGATGATAATACTTTTCTACTTTTACTTGAGTAACATTTTGAATGCAGGACTTTTACTGTAACAGAGTATTCCTACACTCTGGTACTTCTACTTTTACTCAAGAACAAGACCTGAGTACTTCTACTTTTACTCAAGTACAATATCTGAGTACTTCTACTTTTACTCAAGTACAAGATCTTAGTTATCCCACCTCTGGCAGTGAGATATTTAAATACATATACCCAAATTCAACTTAATGAGGCCTTAAGAACACTTTGTTCTCGATATGTGGTGCGAAAAAAAACGGAACAATGCTTCTAAATGTGTAATTTTATTATGAATATCATCACCTTCACACAATTGATGTTGTACATTTCACCAGGGCCAGGATGTGATGAAACATCCCAGCATTCACAGCAGACTAAATCCTAAAAACCAAACCAAGGATAACAAGGAACATAATAACAAGCATATATATGAGTAAATACAAATAAAATCAGCAAAAGTTATATTGATGTTCAAACAGAGAATAAAATGTAATACACTTCATTTTTAATGTTACATCAGTGTTAGATAAGAGGATATTTGTAATAAAAGATACATCATTTGCATTTCCTTTCAAGACTTTGACAATAAACAAAACATTAAATAAGGGATCTAAATAAAAAAAGATACTCCCTGAAAAGTTAAAGGCACCAAAGCACACCTTAGTTCTTTATAGTGGAAAACATGCAAAGAGGGACCTCTGGTGGGGAATTTAAAATCTGCAAATAGCTCACAGTGAGCAGGATGGAAGATTAAAGTTCATTTGAAGCCACGTTAAACATTAACCCAATGAGTATAAGTATTCAAATTGAATACTGCTTCAACACTATGCATGCTATAATACACATCCTTTTACCCAACAGTACATTTACTTAATTACTGCATCATTATGACAAAAGATTATTTAAATGTGGTATGCTTCATGTTTTAGATGCAAAATCTAATTATTATAATTATTAAATGCAATTAAAATAGGTAATATTTAAACTCACAATCAGTTTATACAATATGTATACGGACATGAATACAACAATAACAGCACAGCATCTTAATTCATCAATTCAGAACCATTTAGGAAAAATTACTACTTAAATGTTACCTTTACCGCAAATAAAATAGTATATATAGTAGTATAGTGAATGCCTGAGTACTTTTCCAGCATTTTTCCTTGTCATTTTAAAAATCTACAAATGTAAACAATGTCCAGCGCTTTAAATTATTGGGTTTTTCTTCACTTGTGGAAACATTTGTAGCATTTTCCTGAACAAATAATACAGGAATGATGATTTGCAAAATCTTTAAACGAACTGCATAGCAAATATACCTTCTAGCAGTCACAGGCACTAACATAAAGTGCCAACCACTCTGCATTTACAAAAAAAACGTTGTCTAGTATCTGAGGATTACCTCTTTTCCTCTCAATAACTTCTTAAGCTCACAACATCTCAGCAGTGTTTCCAACGGGAGCATAAAGACGAAGTCCTGCATAGAGAGGCTCAGTGAAGGTGGTCTTGACTCTGTGGAGGAGGGTCATGGTTTCTTCTGAGACGCTGTAGAAGGACAGGATGCCTGCACTTTGATCCAGGTAAACTCCTACTTTGGAGGACTGAGGACCTGAGACAGGAGTTGGGTTTTTCTTATGTCTGAAATCATAACGACCATTGTAAAAACCTAATGCCCATGACTTTTCACTATCTCCAAATTTGTCTTTTACAGTGTTATTATCTTTGTATGCTACAGCCACTTCAACTCCTCCCACACCTTTCTCCACCTCCCAGTAACAACGTCCAGGCAGACTCTCTTTACTCAGGACCTGATGATACTTAATGAACCTTTCTATGTGACTAGGATAACTTTGTCCGAGCCTTGAAGTTACTTTTTGGTTCCTCTCAGATAACAAAAGATGTGTGTGTGCTGTGTTTGGATCCAGTGCTATTTGACGTGAGTATTTTAAGAATCCAGCTCTGGTCTTGGGCTGTGGTTGTGACAGCAACGTGTCCACATCACCCACTGTCAGATACACGTTTGTCCATTTATCTCTCAGGACGTCCAGTAGTTTATCTCTGAATTTTGACAAAGCTGCTTTCACATCTTCAAGGTAGCTTAGAGGAAGGACGTTGATGCTGGATGAGTGTGTAGATGAGAGGTAGCTTTGAATAAACTGGGTGTGATCCTCTGTGTGAGAGAGCAACTCCAGTGCGGCGTCTTTCTTCTTCAGCTCAGAGATCTCCTGCTCCAGCTTCTCCTGAAGCTCTTTGACTCGACTCACTTCACTCTTCTGCTGGGATCTGACCTGCTGCTTCACATCAGAGCTTCTCTTCTCCATGAGACGCATCAGCTCAGTGAACATCTTCTCACTGTCCTCCACTGCTTTATCAGCAGAGCCATTGACGGCCTCCACCTCCTGCTGAAGCAGCTTCACCTCCTTCTCTCTGTCCTGGATTCTCTGCTGGATGTTTAGTCGACTCCCCTCCAGCTCTCTCTGCCTCTCAGTCCTCTCTGCTGCAGCTGACACTGTGTCGTGGCCTTTGTGTTCGTCAACAGAGCAGAGATAACAGATAAACTGCTGATCAGTGCGGCAGAACATCTCCATCACCTCGTCGTGACGAGAGCAGATGTTCTCCTGGAGCTTCTTGGAGGGCTCCACCAGCTTGTGTTTTCCAAAGGCAGGAGATTAATAATGAGGCTGGAGGTGTTTGTCACAATAAGAGATCAGACACTGCAGACAGGACTTACAGGCTCTCAGTTTTCTCCCAGTGCAGAAATCACAGGCCACATCTTCAGCTCCAGCATAGCAGTGATCAGCAGGAGCTTCTTCAAGTCCAGTCTTCTTCTGTTTCTCCACTAAATCTGCTAACATGATGCTTTTCAGCAGGACAGGCCTTGGTGTGAAGCTTTGCCTACACTGGGGGCAGCTGTAGACTTCCTTCTCATCCTCTTTGTCCCAGTGGGTTTTAATACACTTCATGCAGAAACTGTGTCCACAGGAAGTAGTCGCAGGATCCTTAAGTACATCCAGACATATCGAACAGCAAATTGCGTCCTGGTCCAGCTGAGCTCCTTTCTGCGCCATTATGCCTCCCTTACAGCGAGTTACAGTCTGCAGTTATATAGCCTGCCAGCTCACTCACTTTACAACAGTTATGATTCACCTAAATCGAAACTTAAGTTCAGTGAAGGGGAGGGAACAAGTGATTATCTGTGAGATCTGCAGAAAGTAGGACAGGCTTACACGCTTAACTTCATTCCAGAAAGAGGAGCGGCCTTATAAGATACAGGGTTCAAGGATTCAAGATTTCAAGGCTTTTATTGTCATTCGTACATAGCAACAGTGTAGTTATGTCGATGGAAATCTTAGGTCACATGCTCCTCCAACAGTGCAGCACAATGAAACAGATAACACAGGGTGTGTTTAGTACTCTTTATTCCCGGAATTAAGCACATTGTGACAACAGGACTTTGAGCTGACTGAATGACCTTTTAAATGACGATACCGCTGCCAAATAAATTAAGTGGAGCACAAGGGACAATATTTCCCTTTGTAATGTAGTGGAGTATAAGTATAGGATAGTATAATATAAAATACTTTAAAGTAACCAAGAACTACTAGAGTACATTTTCTTAGTCACTTTTGAACTTGTATGTAATGTGCTGTAAAATGAA